ATTTTGCTTTGGTTTTTACTTTTTATATTTTTAAAATCTATTATTTGTATTTTCTGTAGGGAGAACAAGGTCTTCCAGGAGCTGCAGGCCAAGATGGACCCCCTGGGCCTTTGGTGAGTATCATTTCTTCCATTGCTTTAAAAAGAGAATTCCTGAAATGAAACTGTTTATACAGTAAAATTTCTAAAATTTTAGCTTATAATTTCACTTATTTCTTTAATATAGTCAGCAAAAGATGTTACTCAGATCTAATAAGGGGAATATATTTTTGAAATATAATTTGGAAAATATGCCAGTTGACCTAGAGATCTGTTGTTCCTTTGGATGGAAAAATATTTCCATTCTGAATCAAATGCCACAGATGAACCAGGCAGTTCTTTTACTAGTATGGACAATTTCCCAAAATGCAAGCAATTACACTTAGTTTCCTGGAACATCATTTAAATCAGAAATGTTGGCATAGTGTGCGATGATTCTTTGACCAAATGAATTCTTTATTTCATGTATCATGCAATTTGAAAGATAAAACTCTGAATACTAATAGTGAATAAAATTATGAATGTTTCTTCAAGGTTTGGATCATTAACATAAATTCATTGTTCCAATAACATGTTTTAGACCTGCAGTAAAGCATCATATTCCACCAGTATGTCATTTATATATGGTTTGATAGAGCACTCTTTACTATAAATATTAGGCAGAGAGTAGGATTCAAAGGTCTGCCCTTTAAAAATCAATTACTTACCTATTGCTATGTTGGTTTATAAATAGTATCCTCTTCATACAAAGATATTTGAACATTATTGTCCAAAACTGGGTGAAATAGGATTAACCAAGATGATACAAAAGGCACATTTAACACAATGTAAGCTTAGTGTGCATTAATTTGAGCAATCACATCATTCCATGTATTAACTTAAACTTTACAAAAACAGTTTTCTAATTAAATGAATTAATTCCATCAGAGATAGATACATAGGAAAAAAGCCATCAAACTAGTATTCACTTTTCAGATCTTTCCAAGATTTTCAAACTTTCTTTCCCAGATTATCCTGGGCGAATATGAAGCAACAACATTTCTTTTAGAAGCTCAGAACTTCACTGTTTCACTTCCTGCTAAATTATCAGATTCTTAAATGAGTTTAAGCATAATATTACAAATTTGTACATAATCCCATCATGACAGGATTCTAGTTAAAACAGGATCACTCAATATCTGATATAAATATATTCAGTTCAATATTCTTCTTGTACAGTAAATTAATACTTAGTGGCACTAAACAAAAGGAAAAGAGCAAACAATTAAAAATTTGCTTTACTACCACTGTAAAATTGTCATAGATTGCTTCCTTATTTTTGCATATTTTGTAGTAACTCTTCTGAGTAACTATTATGAGGATGGCACAGCATAGAGAAAAAAGTTTCAACGGGGTCGTTCCGAGTGTTAGTCAACATCACTGAGTAACAGCATTCTCATGCTTTCCCTAAATAGTATTAGATATATGTAATAGATTATTTTTGTTGAAACGATTCATCAAGTCACAACAAACACATATCTGACTTTCCACTGGTTTTCCAGAGACTGAAAATTGCCCAGGAAGAGATTACCCATCTTTCTCTTGCTGAGCAGCACCTGGATTCAAACCACCTGTCTTTACCTTGGCAGTGTACCTCCTTACCCATTATGCTTCTAGAACACCAGTTAAATATTTACTTGTTGTTTTATAATATCAAGTCAGAACCAGCCTATTGCTGAACTTCCAGCAAGTTTTCAGAGATTGTAAATAGTATGGGGGAGATTACTCACTTTTCTATCATGGAACACCTGTTGGATTTGAATTACATGCCATTTTTGGATTTGAAAATGCAACTCCTTACCACTAAACCCCCAGTGCTTTCTAAAGACAGTTTGATGGGTGGAGGGGATTGTGGGTTAGGGAGGTGGAGGGGATTTGGTGTGAGGGGCAGTGTATACAAACTCTGTAGGTAAAGAAGTGTAAAATTTAAAAAAAAAAGACAACCTTATATTTAAAATACATTGGGACAGAATAAAACACATTTTTTTTCATTAAAACACTTTTTAAGACATTATAAAAAATCCTAATTTATGGTATAAGCTTTCATTGAAAACACAATGAAATATTATTAAAAAATAGTTAGCTTTATTAGTATCTGTTCAACAAAGTGAATTAGAAAATTACTGTTTAAAATATCAACAATCAACAATGAGCTGATTTCAGACAACAAACGACAAGCAATAATAAATATAAATAA